CTCTATTCTCTAATAAAGGCTAGAAATAGTCTTTTACTAAAAGGTATTACTTTTTTAGCTAGCTATTATTACTTTTTAATTAATATTAAGCACTTTAAGAAAAGTAGTATCTAAAGTTTACTAAGGAGCTTAAGGTAAGTCCTTATATACTTTTAGCTTTGAAGGACTTTATCCTTAGTATAAGCTTACTTAAAGTATAACTTCTAGTTACTAATTATATTTTATATAATACTAATAAGTTAATATAAGTAACTTAGACTATTTAAGAGACAGCTTTTAATATTATTATTACTTAACCTTATACTAAAAGTAATATAAATACTAAAGTTTTAGTAATTCTAAAAAAAGTAGTAAGCCTATTATACTCTTAAGGGTAGGTATATTATCTAGAGGTACTAGAGGATAAGGCGTTAGTTAATAAACTCTTTATAAAGCTTAATTTAGGCTTCTTTAAAGGTATATTTAGTCTTAGTAAAGATAATAAGCTGTTATATTATAAAGACCTTATAATATATATTAAGAGAAGGCTTATCTAACTATATAGTAATATAGGCTTAGTCCTTATTACTAAGCTAGGCTATTACTTATATTAGTAGCTAATTAGCCTTATTATCTAACTTACTACTATTACTACTATAACTATAGTCCTTAATTTATTTCCACTTAGCCTTAAGTATAATATTAAAGTTAATATAATAAATATAAAGCTATTACTAGACTTTTAGAAACTACTTATTTAGTATAGCCTTTATTTACTTATTATAGTCTGTAATTATAATAGTAAAGTACTAAACTAAGTTTTAGTCTATAAGTTAGTAAATACTAGCTAAAAGAAACTAAAAGCCCTTTAGTTATTTATTATTAATAAGGCTAAATATAGTATTATAAATAGATTTAAGATAGGTCTACTTAGTAGCCTAGAAAAGTAAAAGTTTAAAGTAATTAGTATTATAGGTATTATTAAAACTAATTACTTTAAGAGATTACTTTTATATTTTAAAATAGTAAGGAAAAGTCTAGATAAGGCTAATAAGGTAGCCTAGCTTATTATTTACCTATTTTACTATATATAGGATACTTTACTTATTAAATAACTTAATTAAAGCTATAGTTAAGGAATAACTACTTAGCTTCTCTTAGTTTATATAAGCTTTAGCGTTATAGATATCTTATTAAGTAAATAAGAAATCTAGAAACTACTTTTAAATAATAGTAATATATTATATACCTAGATACTAACTTATTAGCTTATTATATTAATTATATTTCTTATAAGTTAGGTAAGCCTATAATAAGATAAATATATAAATACCTTAAGGCTAAGGCTATAGTTATACTAACTATACTAAAGGTGTTAATAATAATATAATAGCTATTTTCCCTCTTTAAGAGCTTTTATAATTATTTACTATTTATAGCTATTTATTTAAGACTTATACTATTAAACACTAGTACCTTTACTTAGCCTAGGCTCTTTAAACTAATTTTACTAAAAGGTATATTACTTAAATTAGCCTTAGGCTTTATATTTATTTTACTTTATAATACTAAACCTATTAGCCCTTATAAAAGTATTTACTTAATTAAAAAAGGTATTAACTATTTTCTTTAAGTTACTAAGAATTAGTAGGTTTAGAATCTTACTTATAAAAAAAGGATAATTAGCTACTTAAGGTATAGTATAAGGCTATAGTTAAAAAAGACGTTTTACTTTAAGAAGAGAATTATTATTAAAGTAAAAATAGTAATAAATTAACTTAAGGACCTTATCTTACTTACTATTAATAAATAAAGTCTTATAACTAAAGGAGTATAGTAGTTACTTATTCATTAGTCTTAATAACTTAATAAATAAGTTAAAAAGTACTATTAAACTACTATATAGTAAGATAAGAAGGTTATTAAGACTATTTATTTAAGAGAGAGACACTAGGCTTCAGAAAGAGGTATAAGAGAGTAGTCTATTAGGTTTTTATTATTTTATAAGAGAAATAGTATATAAAGTAGAGTATAGGCTCTAAACTAAAGTAATATAGTTTATAGTATAAAAGGGGTTATATATCTAATAAGGTGTTAGCTAGAAGCTTAGTAATAAGGTTATACTACCCTTAAGGATTACTAACCTTATAGGATTAGCTAACGTTAGGATAGCTATATTCTAATAAGGGAGATAATAAGAGGTTACTAAATAATAAATATTACTTATAATTAAGTAGAGGCTACTCTTTAAGGATATAACCTATATTAGTAAGGTAACTAGGTTAGGTTAGCTACCTTAGTATATAATTTAAAGCTATAATAAGTATATAGTATAGATAAGATAAAGATTAAATTAATTAGCTAATAAAGAGAATAAGTTACCTCTAGTAGGTCTAGTAGAATTAGGTTATACTAATAATAAAACTTTAGACTAATTAGAGATATATATAGTAGCGCCTATATAAAGGTAGCGCTTATATATTAATTTATAGTGTTTATATATTAATTCCTATTTAAAAAGTATTTAATACTTTTTAGGCTTTTATTTTTACTATATTCTTAGGCTCTTTATAAATAACTAGAAAATAAAGATAATTTATAACACTTTAATAGGTTACTAGTGTTATAATATTAACTATTACCTAGATATTAGTAGTATAGATTAACGCTAATAACAGCTAGAATAACTATAGCTAATTTACTATAAAATCCCTAGGGATTTTATAGTAATTTCTCTGTAGATCTACTAGACCTATAGGTATATTATATAGTAAATTTACTATATAATCCTATAATAGTTTTCCTCTTTATATATAATTTAGGACTAGTATTTACCCTTATTATTTAATATTATTTATTAATATATATAGTTAACTATATTACTACCTTAGTAATAACTAATAGTATTACTTAGTTATTAATATTTACTTTAAATAATAAAACCTTATTTTTAATTACTAGGCTACTTTATATAAGGTCTTTTTCTATAATTAAAAGTTATAATAATCTTTATATATAATAGTATTTTTATTAAGAACTTAATCTTATTAAAACTATAACTATTATAATCTTATATTTTATACTTTATAATTATATTTCATATAAGTATAACCTAGCTGTATATAATTATAAGCTCTTAACCTAAAGCCCTTAAATAGTTAGTTTAATATTAAAATTATATTTTAGTTAAAGTTATTACTATATAAAATTCTCTACTTACTAAGGTTTAATATATATTATATTATAATTATTTAAAAGTTAATTAGTTATGTTTTATACATTATCTTATTATAAAAAAAACCTTTAATTAATTAGGTTAATAATCTTTTTAAGAATTGCTCTTTTTTTTACTTTTATTATCTTCCTTAATTTAAATATAACTTATCTTATATAATATATTCTTAATATTTATAATAAAGTGTTATATAAGGGACCTTAAAGATAGTAACTCCTTTTTATATAGACATTTTTAGGTCTTCTTTAATAGCTTAAAGGGTAAGGATAATATAGTCTTTAGTTAAGAAGAATTATATTTTTATATATAAAGAAAGGTTAGTATAAAGCTTAAAGAAATAAAAAGAGAGAAAAGAAGTCTACTTATTATAATTATTTACTTACTATATAGGTATATTATTAAGTAAGTATTAAGGTTAACTTACTTAATAAAACTAATTAAAGTGTTATAACTAGTTTCTAAATACTAAGATTTTTACTAATAGTAAGTAAAAGTTAATAATTAGTTAATAGTAATATTATTATTATAGTTTACTAACTACTTAGTAATTAATAGTATATTTAGGTTACCAAGGTAGCTTACATAGCTTCTTATTAATTAAATTACTAAAGTTAATCCTAAAAAGTATTTAAAGAATATATTATAAGTTAATTACTAAAAGCTATAAAAGTCTATTCTTAAGTATATTTAAGTTTATTCTATATATAAGTCCTAGCTATTACCTAAAGTACTTATTCTATTTAATAGTTATAAGTAATTAATATTCTTATATAAAGTAAGTACTTAGTAAATACTAGTAAGTACTTACTTTTATAGTTACTAGTAATTATATTATTAGGTAATTATTTTTTTTCTTTTTATAACTTATATTATATTTTTTATACTTTAAGAATTTATTTATTAGTTCCTTATTTCTTATGTATATAAATACTACTGCTGCTTATTATCTATCTGTTAAGGAAAGTAATATAGCTTATAACTTACTAAATTATAACATTTTATAGCTTCTTAAAGTATACCTAAAAGAAATTTATACTTTTAAATACCGTTCCAAATACATCAAGTACCTTATCTTTAATATATCTATAATATTCAATAAAGTAAGCTACTTAATCAATATCTACTATTAGTATAGGTATATTAAATCTACTATTATAAGTAGTAAAAAGAAGTTAGATAGTACTATTATTTATAAGCTTCTTATATACTTAAAGACTTATATAATTAAGGTAGGTAATATAAAAGTAGCCTATATACTCTTAGTTATCTACTAGCTTAGTATTAGTAATAGGCTAGTTATTAAGAGGACCTTAACCTTAAAAACGTTAATAAAGTAATATTTATAGTACCTAGAATCCTTTTACTACTATAGCTGTTTTTAAAGCTAGATTTTTAGTAATAGCCTTAACTACCTCTTAGCTATACGCCTCTATATTTTTGTTATATTTAACTATGGTTAAGGTTGTTGTTTTGTTAAAGTTATAGCTTAAACAGCATTAAAGTGTACAAATAGATAGTCTACACGTATGGCTCGTGAGCACCCGCTGACGCGGGTGGAGGTTGCCTGTAATACTGTTAGTCAGCGTGTGCGGGGCACGGGTACCCCAATCTGACGCACGGGTAGGTAATAACGTCGTGTATTAACTTTCATTTAGATGAGGAGGCGCCAGGTAACATTTACTACTGTGTAAGTTCACACTATAGCCCGGTTACGTTTGGATCCGTAAGAGGGGCGGAAGACTGTTTTAGGTAGTTGGACACCCAACCGAGACCGGGGCTTGGAACCTTATTCAGAAAATGACAGGTCGACAGCTCCTCTGGGTGCCAAAGTAATTTCACTCGCCATTCGCAATCGGGACCGAGCGAATGTCTCGACCGGTTCCGCGTCGGTAGCCCTCCTCACCCATCCTGGCTCGGAAGCTGGAATATCTTTAGGTGCAGTCCTGAGCTGCACGCCCTTGTACCGCTGAAATACACGTACGAGGACGTATGCCATCTCTGTGAGCGCCATTTGCTGCCCGATGCATATCCGAGGGCCCCCATTGAAAGGGATGTAGGTCCATGGGTTCGGAGCCCAGTTCAGCCACCGCCGAGGGGAAAACTCGTGGACGGGCGCAAGGTCAAATGTGTTCAAATCGCCGCGGAGCTGCAAGACGTGCGTGGAATAGATGACCTGCGTACCGGCCGGAACGCCAACAGGCCCGCTACCGTCTGGCCCGCCCCCGCGCGGCAGGCTTGTATCCTTCAGCGCAGTGCGGATGTTGAACGGCGCGTTAGGGTACAGGCGCAACGTTTCATTGATGACGCAGGTACAGAATCGCATGCTCTTGAGGTCTTGGAACGTCGGCTCGGGCGCCCCGGGACCGACACCGACCGTGGCTTCGATCTCGCTACGGAGGTCGGCCAAGACCGCCGGGTTGCGCGCCAGCTCGTAGAACATCCATGCCATGGTGGTAGCCGTCGTATCCCGCCCGGCGATCAGAATCGACATCATCTCGTCGCGCAGATAGCGTGGATCGCGGGACGTGGCCACGCAAGCGTGGATGAGCTTGTAACCATGGTCCTTTTCGTCCATGTCGAACAGCTCTTCGGGCGACATAGCCAGCGCCTTGTCGATGGACGGCTTCATGAAGCCGTCGAGCGTGGCCAAGTCTTTGCGGAACTGACGTCGCGGCACGACAAAGTTGAGTGCTGCTAATCGCTCAACCAGGGATTGCGTGTGTCGGATGCGCTCAAAAGCCACAAAGACACCGTCATCATCATGGCGTGCCAGCGAGGCGACATCCCGCCCCAAGGAAAAGTCGGCCGAGACGTCAAGGGCCAGCCGACTCAGTACATCCTTGACGTTCACCGTGCGGCCTCCAGCCAGCATCGGCAGCATCACCTGGACGTGACGTTCAAACGAGGCCAGGTCGCTGACACGTTGTCGGGTGAACAGGGGCCGAAGGCGCCGGCGTGACTCGTACCAAGCATCACCGTCAACGTTGAAAATGCTGTTTCCCATGAGATCAAACCAATCTTTTCGGAACCGCGGGCCCTTGCCGAATTCGGCGAACTGGGTGGCCAGCATGGAGCGGATATTATCCGGGTCGCTGGTAAACAGCGTCCGCTCCCCAAGCAGACTGACCTCGAACGTATACGGATTCTGCTTGCCGTGACCGGCCCGCAGGAACGCGTTGTGCATGAACTTAAGATTCTGATCCCGCAGGGCATGAGACGTGATGGACGCGAGGAAGTGCAAGCCCGAGAGCACATCTAATGATTCCTTGTCAGTCCTTGTATGCCCTTGCCTGATTGATGGGTGATGGAGGGAGCCTTGTGAAGATGTGCGGACGAGCTTATACCACGAGATGGGAAAGGCCGTCCTTACCTGTAGGAAAGATGGAGCTGAATCGGGGCGCACGGCCACCGAGTTGGTTGATTCGTGTCTCCTCCCGCGCAGCCAAGTACAAGTGTCGTGTGATAGCAAGGCACAGTAATGAAACGGCCAGTTTCTGAACAAATGAACCCGGCAGATTGCGAAGCAGGACATGGAGGTATTCCATCGTCGGAGCTGCTAAGTTAGAAGGTATGCCTGGGCTCGGTTCTAAGGTATGCTTCAGGGCCTGAAAGCTAAGGGATCCGAAATACTAGGGTATCTAGCATGTAGCGTAGATGACATCGCCCATAATCACAAGAAAACCAGTGGCCTGCTTAAATAAGAGCTGTATACCTATCGGAGTCATAGGCGCTGTGTCACTTAACAATGGAGATCCCAGTTCAAATCGTTACCGGAAGTACATCCTGATTCATTCCAGGAATCGGGTTGACTAATCGCCAGTTGGATGTCGTGAATCCATACTACCTACCCTGCCTTTTTTTGGCTGGTCACGCTGTGCGAGTCAGATCTGACATGCACGATATCACCAAGGCATGGGCTAGGCAAACCTCGTACGAGTAGCAGTAAATTGACGTAGGCGCAATAATAATTCGACGTATCTAACCACTTTGAGCAAGAAACCCACTGCCACAGCCACGCAATAGAAATTAGCATATCACCTACGTCAATTTACTGCTACTTCCCTCGTACATTCTGCTCGAGTTTAGTCTCTCGGGTATTTGGGTACCTTCAACTGTCAGCAGCTGAGCTATCACATAGATGAGTCATGATTCGGCCTAGTCCCGCGAGCCTGCAACCCAGAAGCTTATGTCTATCTTCCATTAGCCATTGTGTCTTTTCGAGAGTCATCTGACCCTGTTTCCACCAAGGTGGATTCCCCGCCGCTTTCGCCCCGATTATTTAACTGAGAACATATTAACGAAACAGCTTTACGCAACACTACCTCCATCTATAAATTAGTGAAGATCTAGTAAGACTATTGAGCGCATGGTAAAACAATGTGCTCTATGTTATTGTTGGTCTGTATAGTAAGAGTAAAAAGCCAGGTGATATAACGTATAGCTTACAGCTAAGATATTAGCAGTTTGACTGATTTGACTGTTCTTAACGGCTGAATCCCGTGGCTGCCGGCAGGTCATAATGCTGTGTGAACCAATTAAACGTATTAAATGTACCTCCAGCTATTATCTGTATGTGCGTATTTTGTCACTGTTCTTAGCATTGTGTGTGTATATAGACCCCTCTCGTCTGTATACAGGCCTCTCGGCAGACGATCGGCCCGGTATACTATGCAGTCCGAGGCTGCCTCACCTCACCGCCGGTACTGCCCGGCGGCTTTCGAGGCCCTTTTTGCCACGTATACGGGTGGCCTGTTTTGACGAATGCATACCTGTCTCACTATTTGATTGAAAACCGCTATAAAGCCAAGATATCGCGATGAACTCCGTCATTGTCGCAGCGGCCGTGCTGCCCGTGCTGTACCTTGTCAATTCTATTTTCTGTCTGGTTCGAAACGTACGGGTTGCTAAGAAGCTTGGCATCTCGGTGGTATGCAGTCCCATAAGCCCTTTCAACCCGGCCTGGATTATCTTCAACAAGCGAGTGGTGCCTTTTCTTCAGCGGCTTCCGTTTGGACTCGGTGACTGGACAAGGTGTAATACGCTCGACTGGACATGGATTGACCGTGCCCACGGGGACCGTCAAATTCACAAGCGACATGGCGATACCTTCGCAAATGTTACGCCACGAGGCATTGAAATACACACACGCGATCAAGCAGTAGTGAATCAGGTTCTGCGAAAGTATACCAACGAGTTCCCCAAGTTGGGCAGTTTTGCAAGTCAGTATTACATTATCCTCTCCCAGATTTCCAAGTAATTCTTATATCCGCCATGCCCGTCGCTCGTTTACTAAACTCATTGTCTTGACCAGAGGTCATGGACGTAATAGGCACCAGCGTTGTTTCGTCAGACGGTGCTGATTGGGCGCACCACCGCAAGGCCACCGTAGCGACGTTGAATGACAGAAACAACGGGCTAGTCTGGGCGGAGACTATCAGACAGACACGCCAGATGGCCCGGTATTACTCCAAGGTCAGTCAAGGCCGCATTGTCGACGCAGTCGAGGATATACGTGAGCTTTACTTGCACGTCTTCACCTACGTCTGCTATGGAGTCAAGTATGAGTTCAAACAGCCAGCACACACGACCATTCCGGCGGGACATTCAAGGAGCTACAAAGAATGCCTTCACAGTAGCATCAATGGGATTCTAATGCTCCGGTTGGTACCATGGTGGATGATGGGGATGCCAGGTATGCCCAGTAGGATTCGGAACTTTCGCCAGGCAATTTTGGAGCTGCAGGAATATCTCGACGAAATGATCTCGTCGTGCCAGGAGAGATTAGCGCAAGGACAGGTGGAAAAGGAGGGCGAAAACCTGTTGAGCTTCATGGTCAGGAGGAGCAAGGAATCCCAAGATCAGCCGAAAACGAAGGCAGATAACCACTTGTCCGAGTCAGAGATCCGCGGCAATCTCTTCACATATGCGCGCGGGGGACACGAATCCTCAGCTCACACGCTGACTTTTATGCTCTATCTCTTGGCCGCCATGCCGGAAGTGCAAGAATGGCTGATGCAAGAGATCAAAGAGGTCCTCGTTGGCGACGACATTTGGTGGCAATCAGAGGAGGCATTCCTGGGTGTGTTTGCGCGGTTGAAAAGGTGCCAGGCTGCAGTGGTAAGGAACTGTTCTTCTTATGAAAGAGTAAAAATGAAATCTACTCTAATAATGCTGGGAGGGAAAGAGGAAATAGAAGACTATACCAACACTGACACTCAAAACAGAACGAGACGCTTCGACTATACCCGTCAGTGATAGTCATCCCAAAGACCAATCCGTTGCCGGCGACGCTTCGTGTTGGTCATGGAGAGATTCACGTCCCATCTGGAACCAACCTGTACGTCAACATGCCTGGCGTCCAGGTGCACGAGGGCACATGGGGACCCAATGCCATGACGTGGGATCCGCGTCGCTGGGTCGATACACCAGTGGCTGCTGGTGATATTAGCGACAGTCTAGCCACGGAGCGGCTGCTGCCACCACCTGATGGGGCATTCGTCCCTTGGAGCGAGGGCAAGCGAGCGTGTCCCGGCAAACGCTTCTCACAGGTTGGCTTGGTTGCGGCGCTTGCTACAATCCTAGCATTTCACAAAGTCGAGGTCATTCCCAACGACGGGGAGAGCGCCGAGGCGGCGAGAGGACGGACTCTGGCTGCTGTGAATAACACGTACGCCGTCATGTCCGTCCACATGTACCAGCCTTACTCGGTTCGCGTTAAAATGGTACAGAGAAAGTGTTAGTTGTGTATTATTTAGTTGGATTAACTTCTAATTTTGCTGAAGCGTGGTTGATATGCAAGTCATAAGCTAGTCAGAAACCGACTCAGCCTATCTGGGATAACTGGGACCAAGTCATTTTATTCCTTACTTGTCTTTCATCAAGCAAATGCTGCTTTGACAGGAATTATTATACTATAGAAAATTATTTCTCATTTATCTGGCACATACTAGTAACAGCCACGTTCTGTTACGCTCAAACAGGGCAATAACCGGCTTAAATTTTATTAGCTCTAGGGTTTCAAAACGACATTATAAACAGCTAAGAAAACATTATCAACTTAATCGATTGGTTTTATCTTCCTCGTTTCCAGCCGCTTTAGTTAGGAGCTATGCCTGTATAGCCGAATTTAGCCGACAGCTTAGGGCAGCCAACTGCACCACAAAGCAGACGTATTGGTAATGATGCACCTCATCCCCTGCTCTAACTTTGTATATAGTGATGCAACCGGATGTCCCAATCCAATTGGGTCGTAATACTACGCTACTCATGTGCTGTAGTGTGTTAAAGTGCTAAGGGTATTTACATGTAAGCAGGTCTTCAAATTGAGCTCTTTTTTTGCTGCGACGTACACAGAGTAGTACAAGTATGTCAGGCAAAATACGTGGGACTCCCCTTATCTTTTACTACGGATACTCTTGCAAAACTTGTTTCTTATACGCATACGGCCACTGTTGATATCCGACCATCCTCGACACGAATTTCCGCAAACCTTGTATAGTGGGGAACATGTCAGCGCTTTTCCTCGTTGAGAGGCCTTCCGCGGCCCACACATGAAGCCAGCCATTCAAGGCGAATCCTGTAACCTCGGTGATCTGGCCTCGAAAAGTAGCATAGTGCCCTCAATGCGCCAATTGACGACCTTAAATGCAGACTTCAAATGCTCGACAATGTCGTTGGCACCGTCGTCGTAGTTGTGAAATATACCTAGAAGGTTGTGCCAGAACATGATGAACCGCCCCAAGACGTTGTGTTTCACGCCCCTGCCCAGGACAGTCGCCCCGACAAGGACGCCGTCCGTGTTCAGCATATGACTCAAGCGAGCCAACGCCCTGCCCTTGCTGTCGGCAGTACCAGGCAGACAATGCAATAACAGCATACAAGAGGTGACATTGAACTTTATATCGCCGTGTCCGCAGCCACCGCCAGGCGGCGACAGTACGGGCTTCGCGCTTCCGAGGTCGAAAACGTCAATCTTGTCCGTCTCCACTAGTACTGTCGGATGTGCCTTGCATATGCGCGTCTTGCTCTCCGCGAGAGGGTTCTCGTTGATGTCGACAAGGAGGACGCTGCTTCTGGGGGCCAGTGGCGCGTGTGAGATCCAGTACCCGGTGCCTACACCTATGTCGAGAAGACGAGGTCGATCAGTGGCGTTGTTGAGGGCAGCTGCTGAGACGGCCCTGCTGTAGTGTTTCTGAAGGGTATTCTTGGAGCAGCCCCAAGCCAGCGGGCAGTAGACGTCAAGGACGAGGGTGTCGTATATCCAATGAAGAAGCAATGGGAAGTAGATGGCGTTTCCAAAGGTGCGCCGTGTCATTGTGTCCGTGCGGCTAGCGATTGTTTGTATTTGGAGTTCTGAGCGTGAAAAGAACTTGGCCCTTTCCAGGGAATATAAACTATTATATGGCATATGCAGGTGACAGATTGTGCTCTATTATAGCGTTCGACAGGTGTCCTGGTCCACCGACTGCTGGTTGTAATCAGACAGGTTACGATTGGCAATGGTGACCTTGGATGACGGGCCATTCATGGTCGGAATCGCTGCTTTTCTTGTACCTGGAGCGGGCAAGCGTCCTTGGGGTCCTGCAACATAATGGGTTAATCCTGATGCCGGTCGCTTGACTATTCGGAAGGTGGGCCTATGCCGGTTAATTGTTGAGAATGGTCGGTCGTGGCGCAATGGGTTGATGCATGACTCGGCCAGCCGCCATCTCAAGATGCACCCCCGCCGGTGCCTGCAAAGCGGCTAGACTATAATACCAGGGGACAGAGAGCAACAAATATTACAGGCAGGGGGCGCTCCAGTTTGGTTACAACTTTTTACGACGTCTTAACACGCCCCCCACCCCTTGGCGGATGCCGGGATTATATTAAGGTTTGGAATATCGAAACATCACGAGTACGCTCTCTCCTATGATATGATGGGTAAGCTGAGACCTCTCTAGGTGGTATATAATGTGAGGGGCAGCTTTAACCACTTATATTGAGAGTAACTTTCACCCGCCAGTTTCCTGCTGCATCTGCCTGAGAGTATTAAGCTAGCAATCGGTTCATTGCAGTGCTGAGAAACGTTGAATGTCAATCTAACCGTTGGACCAAATTGCATAGTATCCAAGAGATTGCTGACGTGGAGTCTGAGCCTTGCGTCGCGAACTCGTTTGTTCATCTCTCTGCTATCAAACACTTCAACATCATCGAGCGGACAAACTACATCCAATGCTGCCGGCAACATCACCAGTCTCAATGGGAGAACAAAGAAGCCTTCAAAGTGAGCCCATAGCTATCATCGGTCTGAACCTCAAGTTCCCCGGTGAAGCTACGTCAATGCAGGCCTTTTGGGCCATGCTAGAGAATGGGCTCAACGCGTCATGTGAGGTGCCCGCCGGGCGGTTCAATATCGATGCCTTCTATCATCCCGACCCTGCACGCCTGGATAGTGTACGTTTTCCGTGTAAAACATGGACAAATCCGAAATCTTGAGTCATCTTTCTGACTCACAAATGTAGATCCGCGTACGGAAGGCCCATTTTATGGCCGAAGACCCTCGGGCCTTCGATGCCGCCTTCTTCAACATGTCGCCAGCTGAAGCTTCCATCCTTGATCCCCAACAACGCGGCCTACTTGAGGGAGCATATCACACGTTCGAGAACGGTATGTCGATATGATCTTAAGTGCCACGTGTTGCTATCAAAGAGTCGGAAGCTGACTGATCATGTAATTAATATACAGCCGGCATCGCAATGGAATGTGCGGCGGGCTCGAAAACATCCGTGTTCTGCGCATCTTTCGGGCGGGACAGTGACGCCATCGTCGCTCGCGACCCGGCCTTCCAGTCGCGCTACCAGGCAACGGCCTCGGGGTCCTCCATGCTCTCAAACCGCATCAGTCACTTCTTTGACCTGCGAGGACCGTCTCTGACTGTGGACACGGCGTGCTCCAGCGGCCTATACGCCGTCCATCTGGCATGTCAAAGCATTATGGCCGGTGAGTCGAACATGAGCTTGGTGTGCGGCTCGAATACATACATCACGCCGGAATGTATGAGCCTCCCCCTTAGCAATGCCGGCTTTCTTTCGCCCGATGGACGCTCATATAGCTTTGATAAGAAGGGCAATGGCTATGGCCGCGGTGAGGGCTACGCCTTTGTGCTGCTTAAGCCCCTCCATAAAGCCATAGAGGACGGCGACCCAATTCGCGCTGTAATTCGCGCCACGGGCGTCAACCAGGACGGCCGCACGCCAAGCATCACACAGCCAAGCTCGCAGGCTCAGGCGGACCTGATTCGAAGCACGTACCGGACAGCGGGTCTGAGCCTTGACGACACGGGCTACGTCGAGGCGCACGGCACAGGAACGCCCGTTGGAGACCCCCTGGAGGCAGCTGCCATCAGCCAAGTCTTCCAGACGGCGTCGAGGAGCGAGCCCCTGGTGGTTGGCTCAGTCAAGTCCAACATCGGCCACCTGGAGGGCGCTAGCGGCCTCGCCGGTCTGCTCAAGACGGTTCTGGCGTTGGAAAGAGGCGTCATTCCGCCCATCGCCGACTTCGAAGAAGCCAACCCCGCCATCCAGGCCAGCGTGTCTGGGATCGATTTCCCGTCTCGGCCTGTGACCTGGCAGAAGCCAATGCCTGGGTTCCGTCGCGCATCTGTCAGCTCTTTTGGTTACGGTGGGTCCAATGCTCATGTTGTGCTAGACGATGCCTACAATTACTTGCGGATGCGCGGTCTCAAAGGCTGCACCGCCTCCGCTGGTCTCGTCGACGGTGGAGTCTCTGTCAATGGTGCCACCAGGCATACAAACGGCACAAACGGTCATCTTTCTGCTAATGGTACCAATAAAACCAGTAAAACAGACAGCGGCAGCTCTGTCGACAGCGAGGCCGATGATAATATGCCTACTGTGCTGCTGACGTTTGCCGCGGCTGACGAGGCCGGACTGCAACGACAGGCAATGGCATTGCAGAGATACCTCGAGTCGCACTCCCCCCATCTCGGCAACCAGCCCGACAATGTGTTCTTGGTCGACGTAGCACACACTATATCGCACCGCAGCGCCATGGCCTGGCGTGCCTTTGCTGTGGTAACGTCAGAAGCCCGAGTTCGAAAAGGCCTTGTCGATATCCTGTCTCCTGCCCACCACGCGGTTCCGTCCAAGACACCAAACCTGACGTTCATTTTCACCGGCCAGGGCGCCCAGTACGCGCGCATGGGCGTTGGTCTGATGCGATACGAGGTGTTCCGGCGGAGTATTCATGAGTGCGACGAGTTCCTGCGATCGCTCGGATGTGGCTGGTCTGTTATCGAGGAATTGGGTGCGCTCCCGGAGTCTTCCAAGATCAACGAGGCGAACCTGTCGCAGCCCCTTTGCACGGCTCTACAAGTCGCGGCAGTCGACCTATTGAGGTCGTGGGGCATCGTTCCGCGGTCAGTGTGCGGTCATTCGTCGGGCGAAGTCGCTGCGGCGTACTGCGCGGGAGGCCTAGATCGTAAATCGGCATGGATGATTGCCTACTTCCGGGGTGTCGTATCTGGCAAAGTATCTTCCGATGCCACTCAAGACAAGACGACGATGATGGCAGTCGGTCTGAGTCGAGATGCCGTTCGCGGGTATCTCTCACAAGGTGTGTCGGTCGCCTGTGTCAACAGCCCTTCTAATGTTACTCTGTCGGGGCCGGTTACCGAGATCGACGCCATCGCCGAGGCGCTTGATAAGGCGCAAGTCTTTGCACGCAAGTTGTCGGTCAAGGTCGCATACCATTCCCGTTTTATGGAGGTCGTGGCAGCAGAGTACCATGATCTCATCCGGGATATTTCCAAGCCCACTTCCGAGACGACTAAAGGTCTCGGCGACGGTTCTTCCGGCATCAGATTCTACTCATCAACTTATGGCGGAAGGCTGGAGACAATGTCGGCCTTGACCCAGCCTGCATACTGGGTGAAGAACTTGGTCTCGCCTGTCCTGTTCTCGGACGCGATGGAGGCCATTGTAAAAGATCAACCCCAGGGTGTGCCTATGTTCTTCGTGGAGATGGGACCACAAAGTGCCTTGCGACGGCCGATCCAAGAGACAATGACTCAGCTCACCTCAAAGACCCCCAAGGGCAAGTGGCGATACGTCTGCATCCTGAAGAAAGACGCCGCCGACGAACGGTCTATACTGGAGACCGCTGGTACCCTCTGGGCGTCCGGGCTTGCCGTGCGCTTAGACAAGCTCAATCAAGACGCCATGAGGGCCTGTCGCAAACCCAAGCATGTCTTTGACCTGCCCTCTTATCCTTTCGCCCGGCCTCGGGAGCTGTGGGAAGAGAGCCGACTCAGTCGCAACTTTGCAATGCGTCAGCATCGTCGGCATGCCCTCCTCGGCGTCCGAGAGCGCGATTGGAATAGCGGGGAGGCCAGCTGGCGCCATCTGATCAGACATCAAGAGAACCCCTGGATCCTGGACCACGCCCTCAACGGCTCCCCGCTATATCCGGGCTCGGGAATGCTGGTGATGGCCATCGAAGCAGCACGCCAGCTAGCTTCCGCTTCGGCCGATGGTCGAATTAGGGCTTACCGGTTAGATAACGTCCGTTTCCTCCGGTCCGTCGACGCCAATGACACGGAGCGTGGCTCTGAGGCCAAGATTGTGCTGCGACCGCGCCGACAGACGACCAATACAGGCAGCCAGCAGTTCTGCTACGACTGGCGCGTCTTTGGCATCAACAATGACGACTGGATCGAGTGCGCGCACGGCGCTATTCAAGTAGAGATGGACCCTCAACAAGGAACTGAGGCCGAACAAGTCGCCAGATCTGAGGCTCGCCGCGCTCGTCTCGCCGCGTCTCTCACGAGCCAAGTGAGGACGGTCGCGGACAAATGCCGGCTGATGGTGCATCCTAGCCAGCTGTACAAACACATGTCAGAGCTGTCGGGCTTTGATTACGGCCCGTACTTCCAGTGCCTCAGCGATATCTCGTACGACAGAGACGGACACGCGACGGCAACGTTGCGGCTACGGGACTTCGCGAGTAAGATGGCGTACGCCGCAGAGGACCCTTGCGTGATCCACCCGACTACTCTCGACGCGATATGTCATCTCCAAATGGTGGCCCTGTCCCAGGGTGGCTGGAACGCTGTGCCTACCATGATGTTTTCCCATCTGCGCAAGCTCTGGATTTCGCACAAGCTGTTAACCGCTGAGGGGAACCCCCGGATGCGGGCCGCCACGCAGGAGACGATGCGGGCCTTCCGCGAGGCGGAATGCCGGACGATGGTGATGCTGGAGGGAAGCGAGGAGCCCGTCGTCATCCTCGAGGGCCAGCGCGGTACCGCCATCACGAGTCTTGCCAGTTCCGGGGGAACAGCTGCGTCCGGTCCTGAGTTGAAACAATGGTTGTACGGGCTCGATTACAAGCCCGACTTGTCCCTATTGAGATCGGAAGACGCGCAAAGCTATCTCGCTTCCATCTTCCGGCGGGATCCACGCTGCAGCGCATCTCCCAAGGAAAAGATCGACCGGGCTGACGCCATCGCGCTGCATTACATTGAGCTCGCTCTCGACTCTATAGACAGGGAGGCGACCCCTCTGCAGTTCGATGACCACCTGGGACGTTACGTTCAATGGATGCGCCGCATACGTCGGCAACGGAGCCAATGGACGCTCGAGTCCCGCGGTCTCGGCCAATTGAACATGGAGGACGTCTTGAGAGACGCCGAATCTGAACCCACCCAGAGACTCACAAAGAAGGTCGGCCAGCACCTGCACCAGATCTTGAAGGGATCGGAGAACGCGTTGCAAGTCATCTTCGAAGGCAATCTCGCTGATGGTCAGTTTGATCCCCCCCCTCCCCCCCAAGACGGCTGTGTAATATATAGTATTGGCTAGTATGCGGCAGAGTGCTAACCAGCCAACACGGAACAGAGTTCTATCATTGCGACGTGTTTGCGACCAACAACAGCAAGATGGGAGCATATATCGACATCCTGGCCCACAAGAACCCGAAGCTTCGCCTGTTGGAGGTTGGCGCTGGCACAGGTAGCTTCACGGGTCGAATCATGCCTTATCTGGCTCCGGGCGAAGAAGGAGGTGCTCCGGTGCCTGTGCGGTGAGTCCCCTCTCCAGTTCCACATCGGATGATCCCACCCACTAATGGCGAGCAAGCTTTGGCGAGTATATCTATACGGACGTATCTGCCGGTTTCTTTGAAAAAGCTCGCGAGCGCTTCTCATTTGTTGGGGACCACATGAAGTTCCAGAAGTTGGATTTAGAACAGACCCCGGCAAGCCAGGGGTACGATGACGGAACATATGATGTTATCGTGGCCGGAAACGTGCTCCACGCCACAAGGGATCTGGTCCAGACGCTTCGCTACGTCAAAGGACTCCTTCGCCCCGGCGGTGTGCTTCTCCTAGGCGAGGCGGTCAACCTGGACAACGTTCGTGATGGTCTCATCTTTGGTCTTCTCCCGGGGTGGTGGCTACGCGAAGGCCAGTGGTGGTCAACCGACGACGAATATAAGGACCAGGGTCCTCTTCTGACCGAGTCACAGTGGGACATGGTTCTCCGAGAGGCTGGGTTTCCCGGTGTCCAAATGGTGTTTCGTGACCACGAGGAGAAGCCGCACCATCGGGTTTCCATCATCGTCAGCGCACGGCCGGATGAAGAGGGTTTGCCCGAAATCTCATCACTTACACGTCCGGTCAGGGTGAACCCGTACCGGATCGTCTTTAACCCAGCCTCGCCCCTGCAGAAATCGATAGCCGAAACTCTACAGGACTACATTGCAAGAGAAATCACTACGGGCGTAGTCGTACTTTGGGCGATAGGGGAAGCCGCAACCCTGGACACCCAGCAGATCCAGGAGGAAGGTGTCATCAGTCTGCTAGACTTGGAACATTCTGTTCTGGAATCGGGATGCGACGTGCATTTCTCTTCCATCAAGACGCTGTGTCTCGGCAGCAGGTTCGTGGTCTGGTTGACGTACGGAGCGGCCCCAGAGGCCTCGAATCCGTGGGCCGAGGCCGCCGTTGGGTTCGGGAGGAGTGTCTGTTCCGAAAGAGGAGATCAAGGCTTCATCACCCTCAGCGTGGCGTCGCGTCCCGGAAGCCCATCCGAAGCCGCTCCCCTGGTTCAACACGTGCTCCGTGTCTTATGCCAGCTCGAAGCCGCTAGGTCTCCGACCGCCGAGAACGAGTCCGAGTTCTCGGAGAAGAACGGCGTCCTGTGCATCCCTCGCTTCATACCGGCTCCGGGTATGAAGGACACCCTGTCAGAGCGATGGGGGGCCCGAAAACCCCGAACTTACCGCTTTGGCCAGGACTCCGACGGCGGCACCAGCACCAGCAGCAAACCGCGCTTCCGCAGCAGCATCCAAACACCTGGCCTGCTCGACACGCTATACTTTGCTGAGGACCCTAACGGTTGCAGTGAGCTGAAGGACGGCGAGGTCGAGATCGAGATGAAGGCCACGAGCATGAATTTTAAAGATGTCATGATCGCTCTCGGGCAGATCCCTGGGAAGAGCTTCGGCTTCGACGGCGCTGGCGTTGTTTCTCGTGTTGCTCGCGGTAGCGAGCTTAGACCTGGAGACGCCGTGCTGTACTGCAGCTCCGACGGCGGCGGCTACGGCACATTTGTGCGGTGCCCAGAATTACAGACGGAGAAGCTGCCTGAAGGCATGTCGTTTCACGTCGCGGCGGCGATCCCTGCCGTGTGGTCGACGGTGGTCTACTCCCTCGACTATATCGCGCGGCTGAGTGCCGGCGAGACGGTCCTCATCCACGCGGCCGCCGGCGGCGTCGGACAGGCAGCTGTGCAGCTGGCGAAGCTTCGCAGGGCCGAGGTCTTTGTGACGGTTGGCAGCGAGAGCAAGCGCGAGCTGGTCAAGGAGCTGTACGATGTGCCGGACGACCGCATCTTCAACAGTCGCAACGACAGCTTTGCGCAGGAGGTCCTCTTCGCCACCGGCGGGCGCGGCGTCGACGTTTTGCTGAATTCCCTGGGTGGCGAGCTGCTGCGGCAGTCTTGGGAGTGCATTGCGCCGTTCGGACGTTTTGTCGATATTGGTAAGGCGGACATCATTGCCAACAACATGCTGCCAATGGGGCCCTTTGACAAGAATGTCACCTTTGCTGCGGTCGACTTGGTCGTCGTGCATAAGGAGGGCAAGGCTCTGATGAAGAGGATCCTCAAGGACGTCGTGCGGCTCTTTGAGGAGAACCACAGCCTTCACGAGCCGAGGCCGTTGCACGTCTTCCCGCCTTCGAGATTAGAAGATGCGATGCGCTTCCTCCAAGGAGGAAAGAACACGGGAAAGGTTGTAATCGACTTCACCTGCGACGACGCGGTGGAATATCAGCCTTTACAGCGACAGGAGCGGTACAATTTTGACGCAGACGCCACGTACGTGATCAGCGGTGGGCTGGGTGGTCTGGGGCGCGAAATCACTAGGTGGATGGTCACTCGTGGAGCCCGTCACTTTGTGCTGCTATCATCGCGGGGGCCCTCTGATAGACCAGAGGCAGTCAAGTTCTTGAAGGAATTAGAGTTATCCAGTGTCAAGATCTTGGCCCCAGCGTGCGACGTTTCCGATCGTACGTCACTCGAGAGCGTCCTGACCCAGGCGCGGGAGCAGTTGCCTCCCATCAGGGGCTGTATCCAGAGTGCTATGGCCCTGCGCGACGACATGCTCGCTAACATGTCATCGTCGGCGTTCCGCGAGGCCCTCAATCCCAAGTGTGCGGGATCTTGGAACCTACATGAGCTCCTGCCGCGCGACATGGACTTCTTCGTCCTCCTTTCGTCCTTTTGCGGCGTCATGGGAAACCGCGGGCAGAGCAACTACGCGGCGGGCAACGCCTTTGAGGACGGCCTGGCGCGGCACCGTGTCGCTAGCAATCTCAAGGCCGTCTCCATCGACCTCGTGCTCGTGGCGGAAGCCGGGTGGGCGATTACAAACTATGATTCCGTCACGCTGGGCCTGCGAGCCAGCAGCAACGGCCTCATGCAGGCACAGCTCATGGCGTTGATGGACATGGCGTGCGACCCGAGCTACGACTGCAACGCTTTTGGGGCCGCGCAGGTCGTGAGCATGGTCGAGAGCCCCGCGGAGCTGGCTCGTCTGACGCGGGAAGGCTTGCTGGACTGGATTCACAAGCCCATGTTCAGCAACCTCCGGAGGATCGGCGAGACGGACAGCGACACGGCTGACGACAGCAAGGCACGGAAGGACAGCCCGGTCGACGAGGTTGATCGGCTTGCTGCTATTAAGGTGGCGCCTGACCTAGAGACAGCAACTGAGATTGTGAGGGCAGGCCTAGTGCAGAAGCTAGCCAAGTCGCTGTCCGTGTCTAGCGACGACATGGACGTCGGAAAACCGGCGTATATTATAGGCGTGGACTCACTCATCGCGGTCGAGGTGCGTTATTGGTTCATGAAACAGCTGCACGTCGAGGTGCCTGTCTTTGAGATCTTAAAGGACCGCAGCATTACAGAACTATGTAAGCACGTTGCAAGCAAGGCTCTACATACAAGCTAGGACTAGGATTAGTCTCTTAATAACTAAGATCCCACCCTATAACTCAGGCCACCCCTAAAGTCAGGCTAAGCAAAATCACACTAAGTTCTTAGAGAGTTAAAGGAAAATATAAAATATAATATAATATAAAAATATAATATAAATATAATATAATATAATATAATATAATAGTTATATTTATATTATATTTATATTATATTTATATTATACTTAATATATATAATAAGTAAGCGCACTAGATAAGTAAGCGTGCTACCTAATTATAGCTACCTTATAAATATAACTAAAAAGTAACTATAAAATAATAAAATTAATTTAAACTACTTAGAATCCTATTCTTTAGATATTTCTTTATTAAACTAGTATATTTATATATTATATCTAGTGTTCTTATAAGTACTATACTACTATTTACTTATTTTTATCCTTAATTTATAACTACTACTTTAATACGTTTCCTCCTTAATCTAGCTTATTACCTCTCTCTATAACTAAATATTTTATATATTAGCTACACTAAGACTTCTTTTTTACCTTAAATAAGTTTTTTTTACTTTTTTATATTAGTTAAGTAGGTTATTTTTCTTATAAAACGTTTTAACCTTAGCCTTTAATAAAGTATTTTTATATATAATTCCTAACGCTTTTTTAAAAATATACTTAGTAGCTATTAATCTATATATTAAGGAGCTATCTAAATAATTAATAAAGTAATCCTTAATAAGAGTTCCTTAAGAAAATATCTTTATTATGTTATATAGTGTCTAGAAAGTCTAAGCTAGTAGTGTTATTAGAAGGGACCCTAGAGGTGTTAGAGTATATAACTTAATATCTAGCTTTAATAGTATACTTTCTAGACTTAGAGAGATAAGCCTTACCCCTTTAAAGCCTCTTTAAATATTTACTTTTATAAGAGCTTACTTAAAGGCGTTATAAAATACTAAAAAGAAGTTATTTTTTATAATATAAGTATTATCTTATTATATCTTATCTTTAATTTCTTAACTATATACTAGCTTTAAAGACTTAAAGCACTTAATATCTAAAGGCTAAAGTAAATAAAATAAATAAAGTAGTATATAAAAAGTAATAATATTATTTTTTTTATAATATAACTTAAAGTTTATAAAATAGTAACTTTTATACTTATTAATAATAAAAAAGTAATATTTCTTTTTTATATATAACTTTAAATATTAATTAAAGTACTAAAGCTAATTTAGGCCTTTACTATTTATTATTTATTTATTTTTAGACGTTATAATAACCTAATTAAGTAAGAGACTAGATTTTATATACTAAGTAAAAAAAAGATTTTTACTTTTAATAATAATATATAGTAAGATACTATAACTAAATAAACTAATAGCCTAAATAGCTATAACTTATTTTTAATTTTTAGGCTATACTATTTTTATATTTAAATATCTTTTAGAGCTTATAATAACTATTCTAGATATAATTTAGCTTATTATAAAGCTAGTCTTATTAAAATTATAAATATTAGACTTTATAATACTATATTTTATAATTATATTTACTATAAAGTAAAACTATATATTTATTATATCTAAATCTTTATATTAAGCCCTCTTATAGTTATACTTATAAGAAAAACGTATTTAGAGCTTTAGTATTTATTTAATAAAGTTTAAGGCCTAGTGCTTACTAACTAGAGGCGCGTTATAGTTAGTAAGTAGTTAATTAGCTATTTCTTTAATACTACTAAAGTAGAGAGGAAATAATTAGGAATCTAGGTTAAGAATAAACTTAACTAGCTTCCTCTCTTTAAGTTTTATTAAATTCTATAAGTTAGGTATAATATTATACTATAATAGTATACCTTTTAATTAATATATACTAAACTATAACTAACGTTATATATCTTTTACTATAGCTTAAATACTAAGTTTTAGATCTTTTTTATATACTTAGACAGCTAGCTATACCTAGGCTTTATTATAAGTTAATTTTATTATTATTAGTAAAGGAATAAAAAGGAAAGGTTAGATAGTTAGATAGTTATAGTTTAGTAATACGCTTACTTATTTAGTGCGCCTACTTATTATATATGTTATATTATATAATATATTTAATATAATAATATAAGATATAATATAGACATTATTATAACCTAATAAGTTATAGGCTATATTACCTTACCTAATAGATAGATAGTAGGCAGTAGTAGTATTTATATAAATAAAGAATAAGGAATAAATAGATAACTTCTTAGTATAGAAGAACTATAGTATAAGCTATATAACTATAAGTATAAAATAAAATAGAAAATAAGCGCTTATTTATAAGTAGAATAAGCGCTTAGTAAATACCTAAGTAAGTGCTTATTCTACTTTATAACTATTAGTTAAAAGAACTATCTAAAGAATAGTTAGGAATTATATATAGGATAGACTTAAATATATTTAAGGATAGACTCTTATAGCTCTTTAGTAATTAACTTATAATATATTCTTTAAATATCTTTTACTATCTAACCTTAGTAATTTAATTAATAAGAAGCTATATAAGCTACTTTATAACCTTAAGCCTTAACTAATTACTAAGTAATTAATAAGATAATAAAAAAAATAAATACTATTAACTAAGTACTAATTTTTACTTACTATTAGTAGAAACCTTACTATTTAAAAACTAGCTATAACACTTTAATTACTTTTATTAAGTAAGTTAACC